GGAGCAAGGTACAGTGCACATTAATAGCGGTAGTGAGAATTATTGCCTAATCAAGTGAAGGGACTTAAACTGCAGGACTTGAGCAGAGAAGAGTCGCACACAATCACAGAATGGTTGGGTTGGAAGGGACCTCAAGGATCATGAATCTCCAACCCCCCTGCCACATGTAGGACCACCAGCCTCCAAATTTAATACCAGACCAGGCTGCCCAGGGCCCCATCCAACCTGGCATTGAACACCTCCAGGGATGGGGCATCCACAGCCTCTCTGGGCAGATGCTCCAGCACCTCACCACTCTCATAGCAAAGAGAAGGAGAAGATAACAGCTAATTTTATGAATAATGACAACAATTAACTATGAATAATTCTCTATAGAAGATACGAAACTGAAGATAGGGTGAAAAGATTAGCTGAACTAGTGGGACTGTAACAGTGTACTGCACTCAAGTCACTATTACCTCGTCCATTTCTTCTTTCTCATTTGTAAATATGCTTTTTAACTTCCTCGCTCACCAACAAGAAGAATTGCTTTCTAATTTGTAAAAGTTAGTTGCAGTAAACAAAAGGGCCATTATGATATTTAAGGCTTTGATCTGACATGCCAAAAAACCCTGCCAGAGCTGGAACTGTTCAGCCTGGAGAAAGGAGGGCTTAAGGGGATCTTTCTGACATGTACAGATACTGATAGGAGGCAGGAAACAAGACAGAGCCATGTTTTCAGAGGTGACCACTGACAAGGATAAGAGACAACAGGCACAAGTTTAAAAAAACAAAAAAAAAGCCTTTTTAAGTCTGACAATGGTGAAGCAGTGGAACAGGCTGCCCAGGGAGTCACAGTCCCTGGGCATATTCAAAACCTAACTGGAAATGTTCTCAAGAAGCCTGCTATAGCACACCCTGCTCTGGGCATAGGGATTGGACTAGGTGAGCACCTGAGGTCCCTGCCAACCCCAGGGATTCTGTCATGCTGTGAAAAGTTGCAAGCCAGTACATAAATATTGGGATGAAATCTGCTGGATTTTGTGGTTCCCTTCCCTTTTTCCTGCCAAATGCTCTGTAAGAAATCATTTCTCTTTCCTACCACTAGAGATTTTACACGGGCAGGACACATAAAAGTAGCATGTGTTAGCAAATGTAAAACAATGCCACCCTTTTTCATTGCAGGAGATGTGCTCATTAGCCTATGTACAGATAGAGCACAGCCCATTTTTAAATGAGGTGGGCCTTCTCATTTATCCTGTTCCTCAGCACACTGCTTGAAAAGACGAAATTAACAAATCTGCCATTTTTCTCCCTCTTCCTAATTAAAAACATGAACAAAGAAGCTCAAACCAAAGCCACTGTTTTAAAAACTGCATTCAATTTCTACTTTTGGGAATTATCACATCTATATGGATGACTTGAAGCAAAACTCCTGCTAGAAATTCTTTTATACGTATGAAAGGTACCAAATCTTAATCAGCATGGTAGATCACAGGCTATGGGATCTGCTAATGCTTCCTGTGAAAGATTATTTAAAGCAGTTTTATTTTGCCTGCCATTGCAGATGATGATCGAGTGTCTAGATACAGTTCTGTCTGCTCGCAGTGCATGCAGCAGCATTCAGCATACCATACAGCATAGTATCACAGAACTGTTTGAGTTGGATGGGACCCTTAAAGGCCATCTAGTCCAACTCCACTCCAATGAATAGGAACAGCTATATCTCGATCAAGGTGCTCACAATCCTGTCCAGCCTGACCTAGAATGCCTCCAGGTGCAGGGCATCCACCACCACATCATCGTATCATTTAATCATATCACCATACTGTAAGATTTTGGAAAATGAATTTGTTGGAAATCCCCTGTAAGACTTTGGAAAGGAAATTTGTTGGAAAGATGATGAGGTCCTCTTGTTGAATTACATCACTGCTTCTTTATACACCTAATTTCTTTCAAATGCATCCAGACTTTTGAAAGTAGTTCTATCGCATCAAATGGCTTTGGTAACTTCAGCCTTATGATCTCCACGTCTAATGACACAGCTGGACTGCACAGGCTGGCAAATTTCCTGGCACGTTCAGCATAATTAAAACCAAAGCCAATCCAAAACAGAGCTAGAAAAAAAATTTAGTCATTTTTCTCTTGCCCTTGCGAGTGGAGAAAAATAAAAAACAAAATCAATTTACAGAGTTGGGTAGCTAACGCTGCTTTCTACTGACTGTTTATAAGATCAGTAGTGTTGGTTCAGTTCCCGCTATGACTCAATATGGAAGAGTTGCCAACAGAAATTTTTGCACGTGGAAGTTGTATCATGTAATGAAAATACTTCTGTAAATACTGCAGATTTTATATTTAGCTTTTCCTGTTATGTGGTTGGCTTTTTTTTTTCTTCCTCAGTTAACAGTGCTGTTTGTGCGAATGTTTCGTTAAGTCAAAATAAGTTGTAATGAAAACGACCTTTTGAAGATGTGGTCATATATTGAAAGGGCTTTGCCACATGCAGTTAGGTGTTCTGATGCATGTGTTCTATGGACTGATTGTGTGGTATTTTGCCAATGATGCATTTACATAAATGCAGTTTATTTCTTGGGATGGTCACGTAACGAAAGGCTATTTTCTCTTTGCTTCAGAGATGCTCATCACTACAGAGCTTAACAGATCATCTGTCAGCCTGTGTGAAGAACGAAATTCAGTGATTTTACAAAATTCTTACAGTTACTTTCTTCAGTTTTTTATATGCAATGCTAAATCGTTCTGTCTCTTGGAAATTTTTAGAGCACGAATAGAGAACCTGTTACAGTTTTGAAAAAAAAAAAAAATAGTAGATAATATGTTGGTGTTCCACTTAGAAGCATGAATCTCTGGTCAGTAATATATATATATATTTTTTTTTTAGGGTCGGATACCTGTTAAATGGATGGCCATAGAATCCCTATTTGATCATATCTATACAACACAGAGTGACGTGTAAGTGTAAATTTTGTGATTCTTTATGGTTCATGCATTTGTTTAAGGAGATAAGGAAGGAAGTAACAATAATGTACATAGTAGTAAAGGTCTTAATGCTTAAACAGAGAGAGAACACAGCCTGCATGGCCCCATTTTAATTAAATCTGAGGAAAAATTAGAAAAGTTACTTAGGTATTTAATTCCTGCCATATTCAGCGGGGGTTGCAGCTGTGCATGTGAGATGATTGCCTTTGAAGATGCAGACAAAAATCACTAATCTCAGTTGTCAGTGACAACAGTTGAACCCACCATGCCCGGTTCTCATTCATTGCTTGTCTTTAACAGCAACCAGCAGATACAGGACAGGGTCGATAGGGAGAGGTGTTAAATGTGACTTCACTCCTATTCAAATCAGTGACATAATTCCAATTAATTTTAATGGCAGCCAGCTTATACTTGAGGAGAGCAGTCTGGTTCCAGTGCCAAGATGCAAGCTCATTTGCATCACTAGGGAAACTAAATTCCTGAAGATGTGCTCCTTCCTCACTGCTGATGGCAAGGCTGCAGAACTACCACAGCTAGGCTGTTCTCACTGTCTGATGAGGAAGGAGCCTAACAGAGGAGTGTTTGTACACATTTAACTTAGAATCACATCCTTTCATATTCCTTTCTCCCTGGGATGAATAGTGGTTGTGACCAGACTGCAGGCAGACACCGTAAAACAAAGTGTTACTTATTTAGGAGAAAAAATCTCCAAGGGATTGCAAAAGCAGCAGTAGTTGCTCCTGATTTTCTGCCAGGTAGCATTTTGGATATCTTCCAAACACCCCTTGAAAGACAATCTTGACTAATGCACTATTTTCATTGAACTCAAACAGCATAAAACATTCTGATCTCAATGACATTTCGCTGTGGAGGAAACCACTTGGATGACAGCAGTATCTGCAAATAGGAACCTTTCAATATTTAGTTTTTATTCACCTTTTACTCATTTCTCTGCAGCTCAGAAAAGTTTCAGTGAAATAAAATATTTTGCTCGACTGGAAAATTCCCTACAAAATGAATTTGCCAAATATTTCTTTTTTTTTTTTTTCATTTGGATTAAGAAAAGAAAAAAGTAGGCGCAACCCTTGGGGGAATGTCACTTTAAATTAGGGCTGACTAGAGGTTTTTCTTGTTATTTTATTTTATTTTTTTTCCTGCTCATATTATCTGTTGTGCTAACTTGTTTCTCTACGATGAGTTTTCCCAGAGAATTTTTAAAATTAAAAAAAAAAAAGTCGTAGCATATGTATATATTTAAATTAATATTCCACTCTGCAGATCAGCTGTAGGGGCAGAACAGTTTGTGTTGCCACGTAACTGCCTCTTTGTGAATTGTTGATTGATCCACTGCTATTCACAGAATCACATAGAACCACAAAAAGGTTGAGCTGGAAGATCTCACAGGTCCGGCCCCTTCCTGTGGGCTACTTTTAGTGTTAGAGAATCACACAGTATGGAAATATTCCTTACTGTTTGTGGTGATGCAATTATATTTTAGTTGACCATAGATTAATATAGTCAGCAGCCATTCCAGTGTGCTGCTTTTTTCTCACGCTCTGTACTTCTGTTTTTCCAATTTCTTCCTTTCTGTGTAGTCAGTGGTTAGCTGTATTTAATAACAGTATCACTTGCCAGCATCTACAAAATCTTTTTGATTCAGAGCTCAGTGACATCGTTGGAGAACTAGTTTGCTGTCTGCCTGCTCACATTAATTTTTTTCCAATCATTATTTTTATTCATCAGTAGAAAGGGTAATGGAAATTTTGTTAGTCTCCCATTTTTCTTCCCACACCGCTTAGTTTGTATAACAACGTGAAAGCATTGCAGAATTCTACTGTGTTTTATTCTAGGAAGCCCATTTACTACACAACTTGAGTTAATGAAGAAATCACTCATCTGATCCCTCCTTTCACATTCGGAATAATTTCTCTTTAGCAGAAGAGGTGGACTTGAAAAATAAAATCTGCCACACTACCAAGTTTATTTGAGTTAATAATGTGCAGTGTTACAACCTGAAGGCAGAGCAAAATTGACTTAAAAAAGGATGAGAGGCAGCGTATTAATAAAGTATCTCCAAATGTTCTGAATATTCATTAGCTTTCAAGAATGTGCAGGGCGATTAAAAATTAATTCAATTAATGGCATCAGGGAGAAAAGCTGCTGCACGCCATTTAGGACTGTGTAAAACAGGTCGTTTGGCTTCCCTGCTCATTTTGATAGTATTATTACTATACTTTTGGGTCTGACATGTCAGAGCATGGACAGCAGTTGGAAAGAAGTGAGTTGCGTTGCCACATTTCCCTCAGGCTTGGAATTAGGCCTGCAGCCCTTCACAAAATCTTCTTAAAAATGGAGCTAGCACAAAAATTACCCAGCAGTGAGAGGACAAAAGCAAATATTTGTCATCAATTGTATGTAATTTTGCTTCCAGGCGCATCCCATTGAGTATCCTTTTGAAGTGAGAGACACTATTGGCTGGCATCCTTCATTTAGAACATCCAAGTTTTGGCAAGTTCTCTTGGTCAAGCAGATTTCAGCAATCTGTAGCTTTTTTTTTTGCTCCTGGAATAAGCTTCCAGTAAAGGAAGAAAAAATATTTCTGCCTCTCTTTTCTTGCCTTGTCCTCCAATATGGACTAATTTAATCTAAATGTTCTCAACTCACTGAAAAAAAAAAAAATAAATAAATAAATGCCTTTGAGGTCATCAATAAAACAAGTTAAAAAATTCACCATTCTTTCTGTTCATTTCAGAAAAGAGCCTCCTCTGTTTTCTGTCCTGTTACATTCTATTTTAGCCATCTGATATTTGCTTGGTAGATTATTTCATTTGCTTTCATGATCTCACAGAGCAGCTGACATCAAAAGTGCAGCTCGTGACTGAAATAACCACGTTGTGCATATAAAGAAATACAACCTCCTATGTAAGATGGAAGACCAGTCCCTCGATAAATGGATAAGCCAGCTTCAGTAAATTTAGACAGTTATGTTTGCTGGAGACTACAAATGTTAATTTGGGCATAGGCAATGGAAATGGAGGCACCTCCAGAAGCAGTGCAAGAAGCAGCCTTTGTGCTGGAGCACCAAGTGCTCTTCCTGCTGTCTATAGAAGATGGGCCCTCCTGGGACATGGTTAGCTTTTGGCAATGAATAAAGGAGGGGAAGCCCTTTATCTTGGTTCTTAATCTTTGTAATGAATGGTATTTGTGAATCCATGTGTCCCTGTATGCATCTGTAAGGACCCGCTGGCTCAGCAGTGTCTTGAATTTGGTTGGGTTCTCAAAACACTCAAAAGAGATTTATTGGGTGAGAGCCAAACCAGGCTCTTGAAACTTATTACTGCTTGTTTTTTTCTTTTCCAGGTGGTCGTTTGGAGTTCTGCTCTGGGAGATTGTAACTTTGGGAGGCAATCCCTACCCAGGTATTGCTCCTGAAAGACTCTTTAACCTCCTAAAAACAGGCTATAGAATGGAGAGACCAGAAAACTGCAGTGAAGAAATGTAAGTAGTTCTTGATTTGATTAGTTTCAGACAACGTTTCTGGAGTTGAAGAAATAAATAAAAAGTTTGAATAAACGCCGCAGAAATATTTTTCTGTCTATCTCAGAAGTAGAATCCAAATGAGTGCTACTCAAAAGAATGTAATGAAATTAATGGACAGTAAAACACAGGAGAAGAATTACCAGCCGAATGCCTGCAGCTGCATCCAAAATATTTGGGGGCTATTGAATAACACATTTTGCCAGTCAATGAAAACAATTTGAGTATTCTTAGCAAATATGTTTGAATATTCGAGCTTGGAGTGAAAACAAGAATTTCATGGATCAGTGGTAGCTGAAACTCTGAATAAAATGGGTTTTGTTTTGGTACATTTTTGAAAAAATATAGATGTTCTGTTCACAGTTGTTGTTATTGTCCTGTTGTTGTTATTAATTGTCCTGGCATTACCCAGGAGAAAAGATACCCTGGAATCTTTACCTTTGAAGACATACATTTTCTGTGACTTGGTTAGCCCAGCATAATTCCTTTTCTGTTTGGAGACAGTTTGTGCTGTTGTCTGTTTCACACTCAGTGTGAAATATCTCCTCTTCCAGGTTCTTCCACAGCATTTGGAAATGAGACATGATTTTTTGTTTGGCCTGCCAATCTGGTCAGGCTTAGGACTTTTTAGACAATTAACAGCCTATAATCACTATGGTGTTTCCCTTGACTTATTTTTAATATGAAGGATGCTTTGGTCACATTTGGGCTAAGAAAATACAGTATATAATTATCATTTTTGTTTGTATACTGTAGATGGTGACAAACTATTAAGGGTTTATAACTTAGGGGCAGAATAAGTTTATAAGTTTCACTTGCAAATATCCTCCAACAAGTATTTTTTGTTTATTTGTCCCATCTCCGCAGGGATTAAGACCTCTTTCCTGCAATATATATTACAACATTGATGATGCTTAGGTTAGGCAAGCTGACCATGTCTGAAGTCTTTTTTTCTATTCAAGCCACATCATGGTTTTCTGACCAGTTTGGATATTTGGGGTTTTGCTCAGAATTTTTTCTGACAATCTTATAGAGCCCTTTGAGGGATCATTTTCTGAAAATGCATTCTCTACCTTATCCAAGTAAGAGTCAAGTAAGAGAAAGATCGGGAATGAGGGGAAAAAACACAGTGCTCTTCAAGAGCTTGCTGTCGTTCTTGCAGCCAATTACTTCCTCAATTAGAACACTTTTCTAACTAGATTGCTTAGCCTTGAAAACAGGAATGGCAGACTGGGTAGGAGAGTTACGCTTCTGAAGCCTAGCATAAAAATAGATGACAAAAGAACAATAATAGAAGCCATCAAAAGAGTGTTAATTTGTGCCAGTAGTAGGTATGGTATATCCTAAAGTATGGTATGGTATATTTTAGGTATGGTATATCCTAAAGTATGGTATGGTATATTTTAGGTATGGTATATCCCAAAGTATGGTATGGTATATCTTAGGTATGGTATATCCCAAAGTATGGTATGGTATATCTTAGGTATGGTATATCCTAAAGTATGGTATGGTATATCTTAGGTATGGTATATCCTAAAGGCTTCACTTCGAAGCAAGGCTTATAGACAAAGTTTAGTATTTAAACACGTGAAGAAGATAAACATTTTGGAGAATTTGTTTCTGTGAGGACAATCTCAGCCTTCTGTGTACAGCTAAACCACCTCTTCCTCTCCACGGCAGTGCACTGGCAGTGAAATTCAGCTTTTTGACATAAAAGCCCTTTTCCATGTTTTGAGATGCACAACCGTGATAAACAAATGTCTTCAAAGTCATATGTAAGCAAAATTAATTTGCAGTCTGCTATGCTGCCCACATGTGAGGTTGTACTCTGAGAAGGTCATTTAAATTCCTAAATGCTCACGAAAATAGAAGCCCATTCTGTGTGATGTCAGTTTTTGATTCAAGAGAACGTTTAACAGAAAACACAACATAAAGATTGATATAAATTGAGTAGCCTGCATGTTAGAGCTGTATTTAAATGATTCGAACAGAATCCTGACCCACTCAGAAATAATTTTTTTCCATTTCGTGGGGGATCACAGGTACAACCTGATGTTGCGCTGCTGGAAGCAAGAACCAGATAAAAGACCAACATTTGCTGAGATCAGCAAGGAGCTAGAGAAAATGATGGTGAAGAGTAGGGTAAGTGTGAGCAAGCATGAGGTTCTGAAACCTTTTCTGATCATCCGAGTTCGAATGTGCAGAATTAATGATCTACTTTTTTCTTAATACTAATAATTACTCTTCAGCAAGTTTTAAAGCATTTATCCACCTAATTTCTTTCAAATGCATCCAGACCTTTGAAAGTAGTTTTGTCGCATCAAATGGCTTTGGTAACTTCAGCCTTATGATCTCCACGTCTAATGACACAGCTGGACTGCACAGGCTGGCAAATTTCCTGGCATGTTCAGCATAATTAAAACCAAAGCCAATCCAAAACAGAGCTAGAAAAAAATTTAGTCATTTTTCTCTTGCCCTTGCGAATGGAGAAAAATAAAAAACAAAATCAATTTACAGAGTTGGGTAGCTTTATCTTTTTAAAGTTAATATTCAGTAAATTTTCCAAGGAAAAAAACATTTTGAAAGGAAAAATTTGTATTTGTTGTATGTTCAGAGGCACGGGTGTAAAGCCATGAAGTTTTCTGGTTAATCTAAATAATTGTTTTAAGAACAGCGAAAGCTTTATTTGGCAATATTTACACAGCTCTAATTTTCTGTGTAATTATGTAATAGCTTTTGTAAATTGATGAGATAACCTGAGTACCTCTCCTTCTAGCATATACGTATAGGAACACAGACATGTATAATGCATAGCAGAAACTGAAGGTCAAATGAATAGGCTAGCACAGCCCATAAGCTTCTTGGTTCTGCTTTCGATGAGCTGAATTAAGTAAGGGAAGCATGTAAAGGTGCCATACTTGCAGAAAAGGACAGCCAAGCCTGCTGCTAGAAGTACTATCAAAGGTGCATGTGTAGCCTTTACACCCAAGCAACAAGACTGCCACTTACTTTAACCCAGCTTTTTATGCATTCGTTTCTTAGGACTACTTAGATCTTGCGGCTTCCACCCCTTCTGATTCCTTACTTTATGATGATGGGCTCTCAGAAGAGGAGACACCTCTCGTGGACTGTAATAATGCTCCCCTCCCTCGAACCCTTCCTTCCACATGGATTGAAAACAAACTCTATGGTAGAATTTCACATGCATTTACTAGATTCTAGCAACACAAAAAAAAAAAAAAAAAAGATTTCTCTTCTGCACTGTTGTCAGACTCTGTAACCCCATTACAGTGTTTCTTGTCTGAACGAAGCCAATCAAAATTTGCTTGGAAGCTTCTTTTGGGCTTTTTTGTTTGTTTTTGTTTTTTGTTTTTTGTTTTTTTTTTCGTTTGGTAAATGTCAAAGTTTGCATCAGGATCATCCTTTAGTCATTTTGCAGCTGTGTTTAAAATAAACATTTTTAAAAGGATGTGAAAATAAGTAAAATGACTAGATATCATACAATAAAATATAAAGATCAGGGAAGTATTCTCAGGGGAAATATAAAATGCTGATGAGTATCTAATTCAACTATCCTGTTTGGGAGGGAACTAAGAACATTTCCAGTATGTTAGATTCTGCACCTCTAATTTAAGCAATAGACTTTTTTTTATATCACTTTTTGTCACAGCTAAATGATAAAACCCATCTGCAGTGTTTTTTACTTTATCAAGATGGACTTCCAAATTTCAGCTGCTCTTAACGCATTCTGGATCCGTAAGCTGCAGTGTCTATTTAATGTGTCATAGAAAGAAATCGGAGTACTATATACAGAAGGTAAAAATGCTGTATATAATTATTATATACAGACTAAATCAACATGTATAGTCCTTTGAAAAGTGAATCGATAGTGGGCATTTTGAAAGAACTCAGCTGTTTTCACGTCCTTTGGTTTATTATGCAAATGTTGGTACTAAATTCTGATTGAAGGATGTAGCGAGTGTTTTTAAAAAGAACATATGCTTTCATATTGTGATGGTGAGATGGACAGTAAAAATGGTTCTTGCCAAAACTCCTACATTTTGTCTCCTGATTAAATATTCTACATGTCTTTAGACATATACTCACATTCTAGATTTTTTTTAAATCATTCTTCAGGCGGTATGACTTTTGAAAAGCTTAAAACTTAGCATATATACCTGGCTTTGGGCCTATTATTAATGCATCCCCCAGCTATGATTTTCTTTAGTAGGTTTCCCCCAGCTCACGTTCACGTTGGGACACTCACTCAGTGGCCAGATTGTAAAAAGAACGCAGTAAGAGAAAAATCTGCCACTGAGATGGATGGCAGATGCTGAATGCATAATAATAAGCAACAAGCAGATTTCTGTTTTTGCCAATCTCCACCCTGGTGTAGGTGTCTCCTTGCACGGCGGGGTCAACATGGTGCTAAGCACTCTTGTTTCCAATGCGGTGATCCCTTGTGCCTCACCTGAGAAGCATTACTGGACTCAGTGCAAATAATGACATTCTTGAAATACATGCTTAAACGCTGAATCAAGACGAGTGCTCAGGACTTTGTTGGACTTGACAAAGTCGTGCTCCTGGGATTTTCTAAAATTAAGCAAGGGATCCCTGCTGAGGGGATGAGAGTATCTCCAAAATCTCATTCAAGCCAAAGGAAAGGTAACTGTTTAAGTAAGTGGAAATAATCTATCATTGGAATGAACTTTGGATCCTGTCCCAAATAGGTTTATCAATTCTTGGAGCACTTCCTGTACAGCAAGAACTTCCTCTGGCAAAGCAATATATTGCTACACGATCACTAAAAAAGAAATTTATGGAAAAGCTGGAGTCTTATCAGAAGAAAAATTATTAGCTTTTATTATGCACGTGTGCATGAGCACCTTTTTTTTTTTTTTTTTATCAAGAAAGCACTTTATTTTTTTCCGGATTTTGTCTACATCTGAATTTATGCTTCAGGGATTTTGAAACATCATTTATACGAATTGATTTGGGACAAAATCCAGTGGACTGGCTTAAAATATTGAAGGGAGTTTTGCCAAGGGCCTTACTGTCTGCACATGAAGTTATGGTTCTTCAGTGCAGAAAAAATTATCTGTTTTCATTTTTAGGCATGTCATACCCGAACTGGCCTGAGGAGAGTCCCGTTCCACTCACAAGATTCGATGGCACTAACTCTGTGTTTTCAAGATATGCAAATGATAGTGTATATGCTAACTGGATGGTTTCACACTCAGCGGCAAAATTTGTGGACAAGTTTGATAGCTAAAATTTTCTTTGTGAAAGGTAATGGACTCGTGAGGGGAACAAACATGCAAAGAATGGAAAGTCCAGTGGCTCGTTCTTTGTACAGTCAACAACCTTTAGATTGGCAAACTCTTTTATTGGTAGTTTTTAAAGTGTGTTATTCATGATGAAAGCTATAATTGGTGATTTCCCCTTTCAGAAAGCATATCAAGCTGGATAAGAGTTGTAGTTCCAGTACTTCTTTTTAGATTGCCACTTCGCGTAGGGTTCCATTTGCCAACTTCTAACTGCAAATGGCTCTGCGCTTCATTCTCACAATTTTTTAGATTAACCGTCCTGTTTTACAACCTTATTGGATGGGAAAATGTACTTGAACTGCTACTTTTATAGTGGCTGTTTGCATACGACCACTTGATCTAAGTAGGAAGCACAAATATATGGAAGGGAGGGGGGAAAATACGCTCCCACGCTACTGATCTTGCTATCAGATGAGAAGGGTTACAATGATGTTGGCACTAATGAAGCCTGTATCTTGGTTTAGAAGCAAACATTAAGTAACTCAATAGAGCACTTGAGATTCAACATTTGAAGTCTTGTAAAATGTATTGTCTTGTCTTAATGAGAAGAGAGTTTGTTTTATTAGTCTTAATTGCTCTTACCTTTAGCACAATGGAGATAAATTTAATACAAGATATGCTGTATAGGCCGATGGCAATCAAGAGTGTTCATCTGACACGATTTATTTTCCGTCATATACGTCTTACTAATGTGGAAAAGTATGACCTTGTACAATCACAGTTCCTTTGACGAGTTCAATTTGGACTGTAGAGGAATTTTTAGTCTGAATTAAAGAGATTTTGTTTGCAGTCATGTTCAGTGGGTTGGAGTTCTCCTCTCAGCTCAGAATTGGATACACTGCCATGCACAGAACACTGCCGTGACACAGCTCCAAGTAAACCAATTATCTGAAAGTTACGAGTAAGCAACACTTGCACAGTAAAAGTGGTCTATTACTCTACTGTTAATGAACCCATACCAAGCAAATGTCATCTGGATTTGTTAAGGTGAAATATAAAAACGTGTGCCTACAACACTGACTTGCTATTTAGGAGAATGGTCTGACTACGGGTCATGTGTTCTATGTGGAAGAGTAAATGATCAGCACTATTTTTGTCTTTATTTGTAATCTAATATGGTTAAAGATGGCTTTTGTTTCGCTACAAATGTTGGGATGTGAATCCCGAGTGACTCGTTGTTAACGTTGTGATGATTATTCTAAATAATCCAATTCTACCAAAGCTTGCTCCAATTTAGCTGTTTCCAGATGTTGTTTTGTGTACAAACTTTATGTTTCCATTAAAGTCTGTGATTTCAGAAACGAGAGAGTCAGACTGCCAAAACCCTAACGCAGATTTTCATCTTGCAAAAATTGGTGATATTCTCGCTGTGCAAGAATTTAAACAACTCCACTTTTAGGTGTCATATTCTGCCCTGGCTTTGGATAAGCATTAAGCAGAGCAACTTTCTCTTCGTACTACCAGTCAATGGGCTTGTGCACTTGTGTACTGCCAGGAGGTACAGCTTATATATACCCAGGAGATTCAGTTAGGGTATAATGGTGATTTTCACTGGCACAGCACCACTCGGAACACTGTCAGCACAGATGCTTTTAATATAAACAACACTGAAGGTTAAGCCCATTATATGGGCTTCTTTGTTTTTCTGTGGGAGATCTGTGGGGAAGAAGGGGGAAAAAAAAATGGCATTTGTGATAACTTTTTGTTTTGTCCGGTGCTTTTCACATTTTTTTTTATACCTGCAAATGGGAATTCTTGATTAGCCTAAGCGACTACGAGTTGTATTTGGTTGGTTTTTTTTTTAATTTATTATGATCTTGTGTTTATCAGCTATTTCCAGCAATGGTATTCAGCTGGGACATGTGAAGCTATGTTGTTCTGCAGTAGGTGAGTGAGATGATGAAGTAACAGTGGATACAGAAAGTGGTGTCTATTTTTGAGCTCCAGCGTGAGACGCAGTTGTTTGAACCATTAATTCCTGTGAAAGATTTCACTGAGTAGACATAAATTCCACATACAAAATACACAGTTGTGAGACACAAATATCTACACTAAGTGCAGCTTACCACATGATTCTGAACAATTATTCCCCAATCCAAGTAATTCTGACTTAAATGTTGTCGAGAAGTAGATTACTACTTTCAAGTATTTGCAACATGAAAGAATTTGATGGCTTCTTATGTCTTATCTTTGCACACTTTTTTTTTTTGCCAACGTTTCCCTTGAAGTGTTTCCTATTTGTGTTGTATTTCTGCAAGACAGAAAGGTGAGGATTTTGTTTTGGTTCCCAATTAAGTAAATAAATACACTTCCTGCATGGGAAAAAAAGTGACATGCAGATGATAGTTCCATCAGTGCCAGAAATGCTCAGGTACTTGGCTGCCCTGAGCAGTGTGAACTCAAAGGGAACAAATGACTCATCTAAAATACAGGTTGGAGGGAATATTTCTAAAAATTTCCGCCAGCTTTTTCTAAATACCAGCTGAGCTGACGTGGTTCACCCGGGCTTTGAGTTGGGGCTGGTGGGGAAAAGGGTGAATCTCATGTGCCTTTTCAGTAAGCACAAGGAAATTGTTGTAGTGTTCAATTCTACAGACTTTTCCAGAGTACTCAGAAAAAGAAACACAGAACAAACAAAAGTGCTAATAATTTTGAAATTCTGCTTCTAAATTCAGTCCATCTGAAAGCCCTCTATGTCTTAATGCAGCTACACCTACAGTTTTATAATAAAGTAGATGCAGAGACGAATTTTAGCAGCATCGCTTCTTAGGTATCAATAGGCAGCAAGCCCCATAAACAAGGCACTGATTGTTCAGGATGACAGAACCACAAAATGGTGTGGGATGGAGCAGGCCTAGAAGATCTTCTGTTTCCATCTCTCACACCATGGATAGGGATACCTCCCACCAGAGAAGTGCCTAGGGTCCCATCCAACCTGGCCCTGAACACCTGCAGGCACACACAGCTTCTCTGAGCAGCTGTGCCAGTGCCTCGCTGCTCTCTGAGTGAAGAATGTCCTCATGGCTAAGCTCAATCTCCTCTCTTGCAGTTTAAAGCCATTGCCCTTGTCCTATCACTGTCTGACCATATAAAAAGTCGGTTCCTCTCCTGTTTATAAGCTCCCTTCATGTACTGGAAGGCTACAGTGAGGTTTCCCCAGAGGCTAAACAAGCCCATCTCCCTCAGCCCTTCTTCACAGGAGAGGTGCTCCAGACCTCTGAGCATCCTCGTGGTATGAGCATCCTCCTCTAAGATGAATGAATTGACTTACCGTTCTGATAAAAAGAACACTATCATGCTCTGAAGTTGTATAAAAGCATTTAAAATATTAATTGGAAAACCTGAGTGGCCAGCTGTTCAATTCTGCTGCATCTGACTTCATAAACTAAGTACTCCCCTGAAGTGGAATCATTCATAAATAAATTATCAATAAATACTTGCTGCATTTAAACATTCCAATGCTCTTCTAGCAGATTGGCACTACGGGCCAATAGGAAATGGTATGTACAATTTAAGAGTCACTGTATTTCCAAGGTGACATACAAATGAAGCATAAAGTTAGAGATGTGTGCGGGGTGGGAAAAAAAGTGTCATTTTCTCATCCTCGCTGCAAGAGATTGTTATTAACATACAATTATTTCTTATCTTCAGAAATGTGTTGGCATTTCTCAAAAAGAAAAATAGAGCTGCCCTGCTGGAAAACACATCCTTTGGACTGGCACGGAGTTATCGCATATTTCAAAATCTGTAAGTGGCAGACAGTAGAAAATGTACATAATCACAGCTAGAGCCCTAATTTCAGAATTACGTGTGCAAAATGATTCATTATTGAACACTGCAGGGATGTGATTTAAAGTTTTTCACAATACCGGTGCCAAAAGTAGTTGTGAAATTACTATCTACCATTTTAGAACTACACTTGTTGGACAAGGGGTCAACAGATGACTGCAGAGGACCCTTCTGCGTGGTCTCTCCCTTTTTCCTCTCTGCAGTCACTGCACTGTTCCCTTTTCTGGAGAGGAACAAGGACTTGCCCACAGGAGAGGCTTCCATATGCTGAAGACTGCAGGGATAGAAGGATCTGAGCTGGTGAGAAGAGAGGGAGCCTGTCTTAAACTCACACTGTGAAGGCTGGGTTCCCCAATTCCAAGCACAAGCTGACAAGCTGCTGGCTGGGCAGAGGAGGCAGAGGACGGAAGCCAGGCACAGAGGCACAGCAGAACCTGCCAGAAGACATTACTGGCTCAGTGCTGGTGGGGAAGAATAAGTACAAAGCACACTGTAACAAAAGTAATCTGATCATCTTTTATAGAACCATAGAATGGCCCGGGTTGGAAGGGACCTCAAGGATCATGAATCTCCAATCCCTCTGCCTCAGGCAGGGCCACCAACCTCCACATTTAATACCAGCCCAGGCTGCCCAGGGCCCCATCCAACCTGGCCTTGAACACCTCCAGGGATGGACGGGGCATTCACAGCCTCTCTGGGCAGCTGTTCCATCACCTCACCACTCTCATAGGAAAGAACTTCCCCCTGATATCCAGCTGATTCCTTCCAAGAAGCGGTGGGATCTGAGGGACTCAAATACCCTGGTTGTTGAAACATATTAAATACTGTTTACTTTTCAGTTAAAGTTTCAGCAAACAACGTAGCTTCCCTTGCATTGCTCCACTAAGTAAACCAGTTTGTATCTGGAGATGGTACAGAGGTCCCGGTGAGCAAGGAAGTTAATTGCAGGTACTTTCTGATGGTGAGATAGGGTTAGTACCTTGTTCACATAGTGTTGTTGGTGAGCAGCACTGGTGCTTGTATACATTCAGAACTGTGATGTTACTAGGAAAACAGAAAACTCTCCTAACTTCTGTGGGGTTGCAGCCAACCTCTCCTCCCCCAGGAAGCTACAGCTATAGGAAGCCCTTGGCAGTAGGTTCCTGCAGCTCACCCATCTGCTCCTGTGACACAAAAAGGGCAATTACCACTAGCCAGAAACATCTGGGTTTTAAATTTTAACAAATTCCCATCAACAAAAGGAAGGTTTCGAAATGCCAAAATAAACCTTCTGCATCAGAGATGGATTTGAACAAATTGTCCAAGGAGGTTGTGGATGCCCCATCCCTGCAGGCATTCAAGGCCAGGCTGGATGTGGCTCTGGGCAGCCTGGTCTGCTGGTTGGCGACCTGCACATAGCAGGGGGTTGGAACTGATGAGCATTGTGGTCCTTTTCAACCCAGGCCATTCTATGTGAGCTTCAGAGTTACAAACCAGATGCAGTCTGGGTTCAGCTGCAAAAGAGATATACATATGTAAATGTTATACATAAGCATCACACATAGCATGTGTGTGTATGTATATATATTTATATGTATATATAAATATACATACGTTTATATACACACTTTTTTTTTTTTTTTTTAAATGTGTATGCAGCTTCAAGAAATCCAGCAAGATGCAAGCAGAGTTCATTCTTTGCCAAGACTTTTTTTTGCCCAGGAGTGTCAGTGATTGATGTGACAGTGGGAGACAAGAATCATTCTTTCTGCTACAGGGTATAAATAATTGAGAGAGAGATTCTAGCCTTGAGAAAGGAAACCATTCAACCACTTAACTGGTTTTTCTCTGCAGGGAGGCTTTCTCAGCAGTGGCCTGGCCCAGACATAGCAAATAGAAATGTATCAAGTTTATATTGATTATAACGTAATTATTTAGTAAAATAAGCTAAATAAATATATGCAAATAAAAAACTACTCTTGGAAACCTCACCTGGTGGTGTTCTTCCAGGATTATTTGTTAAAATGAATTGTGACAGTTTGTAAAATACTGAGCAGAAACAGGTGCTGTGGGTTTTTGTTTTTTTCTTTTTCAAAACACTGCTGAGAATATTTTAACTAAATATTTAATATTTATGGTGAAATATCTTTCTCACCCTTTTTACGTACACAGCCAAACTGAGTGAGTTGTTACGAAAGGCAACTTTTTAACCATATAGCAGTAATGGTTATTGAATCACTTTGAGTTGCTTAACCGAGTGTCCATTTCACATTCTGAAATTTGAAAGAAGTGTTTCTGAAAAGCTAGGCTTTAAATTAGAGATTAAAAGTTACCGTTTCAAACAACAGCCATGTACAAATTAGGCAACACGTAACTAATAAAAGAAGTCTGCTTACAGCAGTATCAGACCTTGCAATGCACTAATATGAATAGCACGCATTACCTTTTTTGCTATAAAAGGATTCAAAAATACGATGAAGACTCTTCATAAATGGTCTGAGCGTGGATCACAGGACCAGAGGGAGAAGGTAGAGTATTGCACTTTGCATATGGAAC